GGAAACTTTGACATCTGAGTGTTCAGCCTGGAGGCAGGCAGTCCAGCATGGCCTCTCCCAATTCAAAGAGGCACTTGTCCAGCAGGCAGAGGCAAAGAGGCAGAAACCAGCCAAATCAGAGAGCTGGACAGGGGACGGATTGTATTTGTCTTCAGTGTAGAAGTGATTGTCACTCTCGAATTGGTCTTCTCAGCCACACTAGACGCTGTTCCAAGTCCTCTATTCAAAACAAGTTACCAGTCTCTCGAGACTGAAGGATGCCTAATATAATATATACATGGCAGAATAGAGCAGATAAGTAAAATAAGGCAAACTTTACATAACCAGGGAGTTGCTAAACTCTGTATATAGTGTCATCAAATGACATCTGACTTATTATACTCTATAAATTAATGACTTCTTGATGGTCTAATCATTAACACCCCTGTTCTGGTCTTGTAGGTCTAAAGGGTATGTCTTGTTTTGAGTCAATCCATCTAATATTAGATGTTATTCTTCTCCCAATACCTCCAATTTTTCCTAACCTTGTCTTTTATAGAATGTTATTGTTGTTAAGGGAGAAGTAATCTGAAACAAAGTCTAGATGAGATATTCAGTATATTATGTTGGCACTTGTATATTGGAACCAAATGCAGTTTGTGTGTGAATCAGTACAGTGGTGCCTCGCATTACGATCGCTTTGTTTAATAACAAAATCGCATTACAATGAACTGTTTGCGATCGCAAAACGATGTTTCCTATGGGAGAATTTCGCTTTGCGATGATCGGTTCCCTAATTCGGGAACCAATTCTTCGCAAAACGACGATTTTCCAACAGCTGATCGGCAGTTTCAAAATGGCCACCAGGTAAATAAAATGGCTCTCTGCTGTGTTTAGGGACGGATTCCTCGCAAGACAGGCAGCAAAAATGGCCGCCCTATGGAGAATCTTCGCTGGACAGTGAGTTTTAAGCCCATCGGAACGCATTAAATAGGTTTTAATGCGTTTCTATGGGCTTTTTAATGTCGCTTTACAATGTTTTCGTTCTACAGTGATTTCACTGGAACGAATTAACATTGTAATGCAAAGCACCACTGTAATTACAGATTTTCAGTGATGCTTAAAAGTAAGTACCACACATCTCATATATTGGGCCAGTGGCTCAGATAAGATGTCCATCGAGAAGAACATGGTAATTTTTCCTTGCCATGGCTGAAAGTAAATTTGCCTTTATATTTATGATTTTGTTTGTTTTTCCCTAGGATGGCAGAGTGTTTATCTGGATGTGTGATGATGCCTCAGGAAACTCCTGGTCACCCAAATTGCTACACAAGTTTAATGATGTGGTTTGGCATGTTAGTTGGTCCATTACTGCAAATATTCTTGCAGTGTCTGGAGGAGACAACAAAGTGAGTATTACAATAATTCCAATATTGGTTGTTCTGGGTTTTTCGGGCTCTTTGGCCGTGTTCTGGAGGTTGTTCTTCCTAACGTTTCGCCAGTCTCTGTGGCCGGCATCTTCAGAGGACAGCAACCTGTTCCAGTGTTACCTTTACCCTGCCACCAGGGCGACCATATGCTGGTGTCAGTTCTTTTGTATGTGACTTCAAATTTTTTTATCTGGAGAAAAGTTCAAAATCTAATCCTGATTTGTAACCACAGTTCATGCCAGTTTCCTGGTTCAAAACAGAGCTTTAAAATGCAACTTTTTGAACTGCAGCTGCCAGAATCTCCCAGGCAATATGACCAGTACGTAAAATGACACTGCTTTTATGAGTTGTGGATTACAGTTTGAGATAGGAGACAGGATGGGGACATTGTTTATGACTTTAATAAAATATGGTTTGTTATACTGAAACAAATCTGATCTGAGCCATTATCCTTCTGAGTTCTAAGATTATGAAGGGAAAAAAACTTTCTTCTCTCTCCATATCGTTCATAATTTTTATAAGCCATTTGATCATACTCTTAACTGGGAATTGGCCCCAAATGCTTTTCTTTATTAATCCCATTTGTCTACTCTTAAACCATTGCCTACTACCCAGTTTTTACTTCCTCCTCTTCCCAAGAAATACAGGTTTTCCTTTTTTTCTCTCTAAGTTAAAACTGTACAGAATACAGGAAATCATATTATGCAGCATAAATAATGGCATGCCATTTGGTTTTCTGGTTGTGTATGACATCTGCAAACACACATGCTACTGAGCTTATTAGTGCTCACTCTCCTTGTAAATGTGAAAATAGAAGACTTGCCGATATATACATCTTGCTGGAACAGAACTAAGGTAGAAATTGTATGGAAAAACTTTAAAATCAAAACCTAGAAAATCTTGCCTATTTATGAGTAGCCACCTCTAAGACAGAAAAGCTCGTAGCTTTGTAACTTTATGGGGCGAATGCTAGAGACATTCAACATGCTTATGCATATGGAAGGAACTAATCTAAATGCTTTAATTTTGTCTCCACTTTTTAGGTAACTTTGTGGAAAGAATCTGTAGATGGACAATGGGCATGCATCAGTGATGTAAATAAGGGCCAAGGAGCAGTGTCTGCTATTACAGAAGGGCAGCAGAATGAACAGTGACAAATGGATGAACAAGACTTCAGAATTTTCAGTTCAAACAAACAAACAAACATGTGTTTTTGGTTTTTTAAGTACTTTCCTATAAAGCCAGATTTACTGAATTTGGAACAAACAAAAATCACTTCTCAAGAAAGTTTTGTAACTACTTTGTCACAATCTATACCATAGCACCTTGCCTTAGGTGATACTTTTTAAAATTTAAGGCAAATTGTGCATGACAAGGTATTGATCACTATATTGCTCTTACTTTAATTATTTTTATTTTTTTGAATATGAATTTGTTTTCTTATTGTGGAGAACTTTCATAAACCTTCGGTTAACTCGTGATTGTATGAAGAGGAGAGGTTACATCCCTACAGCTCAATACTTCTCAGAACATGTTTTTTTTAAAAATTTTACAGTTCTCTCATCATTTAAAGTCTGGTTATAGGTTCTTTTTCAGCAATAAGGAAGAAGCTATAGCATAACAAATAAGCAGTCTGAGCTTGTTAGAGCTTGTTAGAGGCTATCATCTACACCTGCAGGAGGAGGGAGAAATGCAAAGTTACCCTTGTCCTAGTTTGTCTTTATATGTATGGTTGGCAGAATTTACAAATTTGGTGTCCAAAATACTGCGTTTCTAACATTAAGCCCTTTCTGTACTTTTTTCTTTCATTTTGTTTTAAAGAACTGAATAAAGTCCAATTAAAACGGTGTTTTCTGAATTGTGTGGAAAGAAGGGTGTTCTTTGCAGGTGTTTATTGTGCAATTCTTGTTAATATCATTTTACAACTAAAATGTTTTACTTCCCTAGGTAGGTCCCCCAGGAAGGGCTTTTTTCATACTTTGTTATTTCACTTGAATCTAAATCACTGGAGTCAAAACAGCAAGAAACTGTTGTGTAAGTGAAGTCGTGTTTTTGCATTAGCAAAACAGAGTAGTAGTAGTAGTGGCAGGGGAAATGTATATACAGAAGCCTGCCAGTTGCTTCCCATGAATTGGTTGCACTAGCTCAACCTTCCCCAGTCTGGTACCTGCAAGGAATGCCCAGGGGGGCAAGTGGAGGGTACCAGGTTGAAGAAGGCTCCACCACCTCATCCATCTTAGGAGCCAAATTTAAAGACTTGCTACCCAGTATCAAGAGCAAAGGTAGTTCTTTCTAATGTAGAAATCTGATTTTTTTTCAACTTTAATATGTTTCATGTGAAAAAAACAGTCAATCTTATCACATGCTAACCTGAATTTAAGATTTACTATATTATAAAAGGTATTACTAGTAAGGAACTTCTATCAAATCACATTTCAGCTATGAAACCATTAGGAAACATACTGTGCAGTCTTATTGTATTTATATACTATTAGGAAGGGGGACTTATTTCTGGGAAAATATTCATAGGATTACATCTTTGAGTATTTTATTTACTGTACTGTATTTATTCGATTTTTACCCCGCCCCTCTAGACGATGTCTACTCGGGGCGGCTAACAGGTTCTTATAACAATACAGGGCTAATAACAGGTTCTTTCAACATGCTCTGAATACATCTATAAATGTTTACCCCTTTATGTACTAGATTTCTACTGTGGTTGAAAATAATATATAAAAATAAGGCAGAATTAATATAAAAATGAATTTATTTAGATCCCTGTGCATTTGTGGAAAAGAAAACAATCAGTAAGCACTTTTATATGTGACCCTGTATGCATTCGTACATATAACTGGTATCTGCACACGTGCCAGTCTATAATCAGCCTGAGAGTGAGTCTTAACTGAGAGTGCATGGCCATAATATCTGGCTTAAATCTTTTCCCTTTTCTTCACCAACTTCCTGCCTTTATATATTGTCTTACCTGACTGAGTAGTGGGCACCTGAGATGTGGCATACTTTGGCTAGGCCTAATAAACATATTGCCTTACACAGGTCTAAATCCTGTTGGCTCAACTAAGTTAGCACAAACCAGATACGTGCCAGAAATAATGTTAACATATGGAAAGCTGCTTGTTCTCCCCTATGAGGTTCCAAGCTCACCCTTGGGAAGTTAAGGGTGGGAGCTTTTAATAGTTAAAAATTGCTGCTGGTGGTCCCAATCCTGGCAGTGGCAATCTGGTAGCAATTTTTGTCTATTAAAACCCACCACCACTACCTGTCCCAAGGTTCTCACAAGGCCGCCTTGGGGTAAAAAGGAGCTATAATGAGCCTTCGAATCTCAAAAGCAGGGAGGGATAGAAACCTTTTCATTCATTTAAATTAATGATTTCCCATGCCTGGATATGGTTAAGACCTGTAACTATGCGAACACAATTTTGCCCAGTGGGGTTTTTTTAAATGGCAACCAAAAATTGTTTATTGATGGAAGCTCAAGAGTAGAGCAAAATCAGCCTTCCTGGAAAGGCATGAGCTCTAAACATGTATTCTGGATTTTTTAAACATCTGTTTCTTTACAGATGGTTTAAGAAAAAATAGGCTTTATCTTAAAAAATATTAAACTATGAGACAAACTGGGGAAAATACTGGTGGCAACACTCTAAGGACTATGTATTTTCTGCGTTTGCATAAAATAACTTCCCTGAGCAACACAAAAATGAGTTTCACCCTGTGGCCTGCACGTTAGAGTAGATCACATTATATAAGCACCATAGCAAAGGAGGATGCTTTCGTCTGATAAATGTTACCCCCTTGCCCTTCCAACTCAATCTAAAGCAAGTTTCTTCATTTAACAGCACAATCACCAGCGGTCAGGTTCACTTTTTACCTGTTTGTCCATGTATTTCTACAGTATTTCTTGTATTCTGTACATTACTTCTAAGAGCATGGACCTAAAAGAATAATTTAGCTCTTTTCCAGAAAGCAAGGTGTCCAGTCTAGTTGAAAACATGTTTACTTACCTTCAACAAGTACATTTAGGATCAGAGCCAAATTATCAGAAAGAAACATGGGGTGGGGAGAGAGCTCCTATTTCTTGAGGTTTCAAACTATCACACCAACTATGCATATACAGAAGGGGGGAAAGGGAAGGGGAGAATATGTACAAGTTTATGCCTAAATCTGATGTTCCACTGTTGCTGGCAATTTGACCATGTTTTCCTCCTTGCAGCCCCAGAAGCTATTGACTTTGGAGTTTGTCCCAACATGCTGGAGCAGGTGTTCAAAGTATTGGCGGGCTGTACTGGAAAAGGGAGATCTCCCACTTTACACTGGATTCTGCTGCTCCGACAGCAAATGTCTAGCACTGATCTTTTCATTTATTTGGCTCACACTCAATCGGGGGATGTGGTGGCGCTGCGAGTTAAACTGCAGAAGCCTCTGTGCTGCAAGGTCAGAAGACCAGCAGTCGTAAGATTGAATCCACATGACGGAGTGAGCTCTCGTCGCTTGTCCCAGCTCCTGCCAACCAAGCAGTTCGAAAGCTTGCAAATGCAAGTAGGTAAGCAGGTACCACCTCGGTGGGAAGGTAACAGTGTTCCATGTCTAGTCGCACTGGCCACGTGACCATGGAAACTGTCTTCGGACAAACGCTGGCTCTATGGCTTGGAAACAGGGATGGGTACCGTGCCCTAGAGTCGGACACAACTGGACTAAATGTCAAGGGGAACCTTTACCTTATCACTCTAAACACAGAGTAGATGTTTATTGCCATGTTTGTTATACAGCTAGTACAGCAAATTTGTGTTTGTTCATAAAAATATTTACATTTTTTGGCTGTTCTAATACTCCTCTGACAAAAAGAGATTTGCCATTCAAAGACATTTCAATAAGACAACAGAAGGGTATAACCAGCAAGGAGAAACAGAATACGTTCTTGCAGGCTAAACCCCTGGAAAAAAACAAAACAGTATGCCCAAGGCTCACAAGGTGGAAGCCAACCAAACCTGTTTATGGAGAGTACTATTTGTCATAAAAGCCCTCATCACAGTCAGCTATACTGTACTTCTGAAGACAAAATGCAGAACAAGACATGATGATGAACTCAATGGCCAGGAAAGACTGGATGAGAAGAGATGGTCTTTCAAATATGCTGGTCCAATACCATTTAGGATCTTTTGGTAAGAGTATTTTGAAATAGCACAGTAGATTGCCTACCTATACAAAAGATCAGCAGACATCCCTAAACCAAGCAAGTTTTGGAAGATCAACATTGTAAGTCTTTCTCCCACTTCACCACAACACTGCTGGGACATCAATGCATGTTCACCCTTCTTCTTTCTTCTACTTGATGTTACTTCACTTAATGGAGATGGGAGAAATGGAAGGATCCCAGGCAAATATCCTTCACGACTAATGTTTAATTAACTTGAAGAACCTCTAATATATTTTCATCAATCATAAAGGTGTCACTAGGTTTTCAGGGAACCTCAACTAGTACTACACATTCAGGAAGAATTACATGTGAAGAACAGCAGTAGTACTGTAAATACTATTGACTTATAAGACCTCCAGATGTGATCAATAAACTCTACATGAGATAGCTTTTGAACAAGCCAGAAAACTGGGTAGACTCTGAAAATAATCTCTCTCGGGAGCAAGTAGATTTTCATCACGGCAGACCAATAGTTTTTTTCTTGAAACATCTAAGAAAGGTGGTCTGTGTGAATTGTAGTAGAGAAAGCAGTCATTTGTTTCTGGCTAAAAATAATAATCCAAACAAGCTTCTTCTTAATATCAAACATTCAAAGATATGGGCCCAGATTCATGTCCTACCAAAATCTGTTGAACTGTCTCTGAACTAAGTTTTGTTGATGTCCCAACTACAAAGGGCTGAAAGGATGCCCATATGGAGATTATCAGACATCTAATAAGTGTTGACTACCAGGTTATCCTTAGACAAGTAGTTAATTGTCATAGTCTATACATGGAAATCACCAGATGGGCAATATCGAAATCAGATTGATTATATTCTCTGCAGCCAAAGATGGAGAAGCTCTATACAGTCAGCAAAAACAAGACCTGGAGCTGACTGCGGCTCTGATCATCAGCTTCTCATAGCAAAATTCAAGCTTACATTGAAGAGAGTAGGAAAAACCACTGGGCTACTCAGGTATAATCTAAACCAAATCCCTTATGCATACAAAGTGGAAGTAAAGAACAGATTTAAGGAACTCGATTTGGTGGACAGAGTGCCTGAAGAACTTTGGATAGAGGCTCGTAACATTGTACAGGAGGCAGCAACAAAAACCATCCCAAATAAAAGGCAATGCAAGAAAGCAAAGTGGCTGTCCAACGAGGCCTTAGAAATAGCAGAGAGGAGAAGGGAAGCAAAATGCAAGGGAGATAGGGAAAGCTACAGAAAATTGAATGCAGACTTCCAAAGAATAGCAAGGAGAGAAAAGAGGGCCTTCTTAAATGAACAATGCAAGGAAATAGAGGAAAATAACAGAAACGGAAAAACCAGAGATCTGTTCTGGAAAATTGGAGA